GGAGAATAAGGGGGCAGTGGATGGGTGCTTTTAGGGAGGAAAGGAGGTAGGGGGTCCCCCTCCGGTCTTATATAAAAGGATCATTTTTCCCTAAGAATGGGAAACAAAGAGGGAAATGGGGGGGGGGGGGCTGCTGGTGGGGAGCACTGGGAGGTGCGGGCATCTGGAAGGAGACCTGGGAGGGGTCAGTGGGGAAGGGGCTCTTTCAGAAGATGCCCACAGGAGAGGATCCCCAGACCAGGATCCCTCCACTCACTGATGGAGCCGGGCCCCCCAGCTGTCGCTGTGGGCAAGGACACTTGAAGATCAAATCCCCTTAGGCCTGACTGCCTGTCCCAGCTGGGCCGGGGCCCAGGGCACCACGAGATGGAGTCAGGCGGCTTGTGCCCACCCGCGGCTGCCCCTGGGTTACTAGGCTAGGAACACCCACCATCAGGGTTCTGGGGGTGGCTCTGGAGCAGGAGCAAGGCTGTGCCAGCTGGTGACAGAGTCACCGTGTGGGCCCCGTCTGACTATACGTTGTTTACATGATGCCACCTGGGGATTAGGAGGGGGTGCCCGGGACTCTCAGGACTTGAGGAGACACTGTCTGGCTCAGGTTACAGCTGCGTCATTGTTGGGAGCGGGCAGGGAGGGGGCAGCCAGGACACAGAGCACCTGTTTCCTGGACTTGGCCACCTGCCCTGTACCCGTTTGAGCTGCCCCCATGTAGGAAAGCCTCCTGTGCCCACTCGAAACCCCCAGCAGAAGTTTAGTCCAGACTGGATGGACCCCAGTTATACCAATGTCACAGCTGGGAGGGGCTCACAGTAGAGTTTGGTCCATGTGTCGTACAGTGGGGGAAACTGAGGCCTTTAGAAGGATCGTGACATGTCCTGAGCGACAGATTTGGAAGCAAAAGCTGGACTAGAACCTGGGTCTCCTGACGGTAGCCTGTGGCCTCATTCAGTCCTTCACCATCTTTCCATTTGGAAGCCAAGCCAAGGACCAGGTTATTTGGGTTACCAGCCTTTGGCCCTAACTGCCTCACAGGTGGTGGGCAGTAAC